GTGTCATATTTTCTTGGTTTTTAATATATTTAGTGTATCTACATTGATGTCTGGTCATCTGGTAGAGCAGTTGCTTCTAATACTCTGGAGTGAGATTTGAGGAGAGAGCCTTCCTCCTCTTTTTCCAGACTCTGCTGGTAAGTCTCCTTGTGTCAATATAGTCAAATGGCCAGCAGGCTGCCTGCACGGTGGCCATGGCTGCTACTGTGGTGGTGAACTGCCCTTGTTGTGGCAGTGGCTATGGCAGTGACTGTCATGGACCACCCATGCAGAAGTGGTGTTTGCAACAGTGACAGGGGCTGCGGTCCCCAGGTGCCCTCCTGCATTCTGTCGGGTGGGACACTGTCCACAGCTCCTAGTGAGGTCCCTAAGCACACTTTTGCCTTCTGGCTTTATTCAATTTTTTATAAATATTCTTCAGTGAAGTTTTATAGTTTCTACAAAAGTGACTTTGTGTAAATTTCTTGTGAGGTTTATTTTAGGTATCTTATAGTTTGTATTGCTTTTGTACATGGAATTTTTTTATTACATTGGTTATTACTGGTATATATGAATGTTATTAATTTTATTGACCACCTTGTTGAATTATCTTTTTAGTTCTACTATTTTGTCAATTGATTGTCTTGGATTGTCTAGGTAGACTATCAAATATTCTGAAAATAATATCTCTCTTCCTTATTAACCTTTATAATTTATTTCTTTTTCTTTTCTATGACAAGCACTTCAGAACTAAATAGTGGTCATGAAAGTGAAATACTTGTCATCTTCCTAACCTTAAAGAAAATGAGTCTGACTTTTAAGTATGATGTTTGCTGTAGTTTCTGTTAGATATCCTCTATCAAGTTAAAGAAATTCCTTTTCATCCCTTGTTACCTCAGAATTTTTATTGTAAATTTTATTGTGAATTTTATCAGATTCCTTGTATTCTTTGTATTCCTCAGATACACATTGGTCATTTTAAGTAGTACATGAGATTTAATTTGGTAATGTTTTATTTAGGATTTTTATATCTCTATTCATAAGTAATATTCATCTAGTTTTCTTGTTCTTTCTTTGTATAATTATGGTATCTGGGTTATATTAGCCTTATCAAGTAATTTGAGTAATTATCTTTTTTCATTCTCTGAAACAATTTATGTAAAATGGGAATTCTTCCTTTTTTTTCCAAATTTGGTAAACAAACCAGCAACCTCTTCAGTCCTCCGTCCAACCTCCCCAAACATATAAACTGTCTGGGCCTGATGTCTGTTGCAGGAGTTGATTTTTTTCCTATTGTTTCAAGTTCTTCTATGTTCATTAGAATTATCACATTTTTTATTTCTTCTCAAGTATAGATTTGATAAATCATATTTCCATAGAAAATTGTTTATATCATCTAGATTTTTAAATCTGTAGTTTAAAATTATGTAATATTCTAATTTTCAAGTCTCTTCTGATTTTTCAGTTACAGCTCTCTTTTTATTCCTAATATGTATATTTATGCCTTCTATGTTTTTTCTCAGTTAGACTTTCTAACGGCTTTTCTATTTTATTAACATTTGCAAAGAATCAGGTATGGTTTTACTGATTTGACTCCATATTATAAGAGAATATTATACATAATTTAATACCTGTTCATTTGATCAACTCAGAATTTTATTCATTCCTCCTCACTTCATTCAGGTTTATTTTGTCCTCATTTTGTTACTTTTTTGAGTTGAAAACTTGGTTTATTTACTATTTTTTACTGTTATGCATGCAAGGTAATAAATATTCCTCGAGTACAACTTTGACTACATTGCATTGATTTTGATATGCAATTTTCTCATTACTTCTTATTTGTAAATTTTTTTTTTTTTTTTTTTTTTTTGGTGGCTAGCTGCTACAGGGATTGGAACCCATGACTTTGGTGTCATAGGCTGCGTTCTAACCAACAGAGCTAACTGGGCAGCCTAATTAAAAATTAAACATTTTTAATTTCATTTTGATCACATTGTCCAAAGGGTTACTTAGAAAAGTGTATGCATTTGTTTTGAATTCCTAGACTATTTGGTCTATTGTTTATAGATTGTTTTATATATCTTTTTATTGCTAATTTTGAACTTTATTTCATCATGGTATGTGTGGCCTTGTATCCAGTCACTCTTTGTAAATTTTTCATGTGTGCTTGCAAAGAATATTTTATTTTCTACTTTTTTAGGGGGATATAACAAAGTTCCTTAAATTCCTGTTAGATCAATCTAATTCTGTTAGGTTCTTTATATCCATGTTTATGTTTTTGTCTATTTGAACAGTTGTTTTCTAGGATCTTATTAGAGATTGTTCAGTCTATCCTTATATTTCTACAATATCTATGGAAAAATAGATGCGAAAATGTGCATAATCTCTTTGATATATCACTTAAAGGGAGTAACATCCTTTATCCTGTGAAACATGTATATTTGTCTGTTTTAAATGTTCTTAACTACATTTTGTTTTTTTCTGATATATTTTTTTTTTGCTGTATTTCTTTTTCTTAGCCCTGCCTATATATCTTTTTCCACTCTGTTAATTTCAACTTTCGTCCATCCTAGTAACAGTGTACAGCTGGATTGTTTTTTGTAAATCCTAAGATTTTTTAATAGGTGAGTTTAGCCACGTTTGTTGTAATCATTGAACTATAATTTTATTTTGAGTTTTCTATTTAATATATTTTCTTGTTATTTCTTTTTCCCTCCTTCCTATCTTCTTGGATTGATTGTGCATTTTTTGTTACTATTGTTCTGTTTTTCTTTACAACTTTGGGAGCCATAATTCTATTTCTATTTTTGAAATTCTAACCCACATGCTTGACCTTCTAGTTTTCTAACATCCCTGGTGCCTTCCTGCTCAATGGTCCAGACCAGAGTAGCATTGACATCACCTGGGATCTTGCTACAAATGCACTCTTGACCCCATCCCAGATGTTCTGAATCAGAATCTGGTTTTTAACAAGATCCCCAGATGATCCAGAGGTGCATTAAAGTTGTAGAACTCTGGTTTAATGTGCATTGTACCATATCTACCTCCCAGGTAAGACAAGAACCCTAGTGTGCTTTTGTTGTTGCTTTTTACTTTTTCATTTTCCTCTACCTCAATGCCCCCCTCTCCCATCTCTCATTGATATCATTTGGACTTATAGTTCTACATTGCTATTTTTAAAAACTTTTTAAAACATGTAAATCTTATTTAGACTTAATAAGTCTTTCTACCTACCTTTCTCTGGCTTCAGTACATCCTTAATAATCCTTTCAGAGAGGTGGGTATTAGTGAACTTTCTGAGCCTCCGAATGCCTATACATGACTCTACTCTAATTTGGCCTCACATTTGAATGATGGTTTGATGAATATAGAATTAGAGATTCAAGGTTTTTTTCCCTTAAGAAACTCTTGATGCAAAGCTATGGATCCATTGTATTCTTCTATCAGTCTGATTCTTCTACCTTTGTGTGGAAAGAAGGTAGGAAATCCGACTTTAGCAGCTATTCTAGTCTGTTTCCAGTAAAAGGGGTAGGGGTGGTGTTGGGAAGTGTCTTGGCAGCATATCTTGGGGGGAGGGTCTCCATTTCTTCTAGCCACCCAACAGATTCCTTGGGTATTATCCTGTTTCTCCCACCCAAATATTCATTCCAGCTGCTTCTACCCAGAGGCAAATACCCACATTACTACTGCAGAGTCCCAAGGAGTTTATCAGGTTGGAGTACATGCAGGTTCTATCCATAACCTGTTTCTAATGCAGTACCCCCAGCTCATCACTCTGCTGGTGACTTTTAGATAACCCCTTGCTCCTGTATCTGGTGTAGCTTCTACCTTTTGTTGAGTACTGTCGTGTGCACATTTGGGGCTATGATGCATCCTTCAGATTCATTTGATTTTCATCTTTCAGGTGTTACAATTTCCATTCTCCTCAAAGATCCTGTTTCTTTTTCTTCTTCTTCTTAATTGCAGTAACGAGTTTATCTACCTGTTACGCTTTTTTTCCTCTTAATTTTGTATTTTGGGGCAAGAAGAGATTGTAAAGCCCATTCTCAGTCCACCATTTTGAAACTAAAGTCCCCATTTTTTCTATCATGTTGTCTACCTTGTTTTTGTTGATTCATAAGGGATTTTTATATATTAAAAGTATGAGGTACTTTAAGAAGTTCCTGCAAAAATAAAGTTAAAAGATAATGTGAATCTTTCCATGAACTTTTTGAAGTACTCTCTTATTAATACTTTGCCATATGTGTTGCAATGTACATTCTTTGCCCCTGAATTTTTTGAAGTAAAAAACTTTTTTTTTTTTTTTTTGTCTTTTTTGTCTTTTTCTGTGTCCGCCAACGGATCGCAACCCTCAGTGTCGTGCCCGTACCGGACCGGGGACCGGCAACGGGATCGCAACCCTAGGTGTTGCTCCCACGCCTCGCTCAGCCAGTGAGCGGGAACCGGTCTGTATGTGGGATCCGAACCCTCGGGCGGGAGCGCCGCCGCACTTCCCAAGCGGCGCACTTATCCAGTGCGCCACCGGGCTGGCCCCGAAGTAAAAAACTTTTAAAGGTAATTTTTATTGTAGAAAAGTTCAAATATATATATATAAGTGGAGAGAATATAATAAATCCAGTGGACAATATTGTTTCATCTATATTCTTGACTATTATCCCTTCCCCTGATTATTTTGAAGTAAATTCCAGACATCACATAATTTCATCTTTAATTATTTTATTCTGTATCTCTAAATGATAAGAACTCTTAAAACACATAACCGTAATACCATTAGTACACCTAACACACAGTCCTTTAATATCATTCATTGAAGTGGTGAACTTATACATTTTATGTTTAAGGGTTAAATCTTGAAACTGTAATAACCACAATAAGCCCATATTCTAATTCTTTACTCAGTAGTACATTTAAATAAACACAATATCTATTTTTTATTGATTGCTGTCTAAAGAGACTTAAAATAAATTTCTTTAAAATTTAATTCTTCACTTGTCACCATCCTCTCTTATTTTAAAATTCAGGTTTTAAATATGATGGAAGAAAATGAAAAAGTAGATAAGATTGCAAAATTAGAACAACAGGAATTTGGCCTGGATCTTGAGGAACTGGAAAGACTGAAAGATGAAAGTGAGAAAGAAGTGTCAAAGGTATGGAAATTTTTAATTTAGCCACCATAGGGCTGGCAAGTTAACTCAATTGGTTAGAGCACAGCCTTGTAATACCAAGGTCAGGAGTTTGTTTCCTGGTACTGGCCAGATGCAAAAAAAAAAAAAAAAGAAAGAAAAAATAGCCACCATAAAGTTATAATGAAAAAGTAACAAGAAAATAGAAAAGGGAGCTAATGTGAATATAACTAAAACTGTTCCATTAGAGGGCACCATGAATAATATGAATAAAGCAAACTTAGTGATGTGAGTATCATGAGTCAGAGAATCATTGAATTTTAGGGTTAGGGATAAGAAGAGTATCCAGGCTAGCCAGACATCTGGTGTTTGTGTCTGCTGCATGACACCCAGGCCAACCATTTTCCATTACGTGTTTGAACATTTTGGGAAGTCTCCTCATCCACCTCATGCCAACTTTGGACCGCTCTGGTTTAGTAAGCTTTGCTTAATTAGAGGTGAAATCTTTCTCCCTGTACTCACTGATCCTTCTACTCTTTGAGCAGCATCTACTCTAATGGCTCTCTGAAGCAGGTATTGGTGCAGAGACAGGGTCTTCAGATGCTAGTTTCTCTCACATTATTTATTTTTCCTGAAATCTGAGTTTTTGAAGAGGTTGTCAGCACTGGATTGGATGCACTAGTGGTCCAGGAGAAAACAATGTTAGTACATGGCACCATAACCCAACTGGTTTTCAACATGTTTGGGAGCAGATTGCTAGTTCCTGGGAAGAGTTAGTGACACATACCAGTCAGGGATCCCAATCCTAAAGAGACTAGGCTCTTAGGTAGCCCCGGCCAGGATCTCAACAATAGGAAAAAGACCAAAGGCCAGTAACAACAATCTGAAACAGTTATTGGGGACTAAGTCTGGAGCAGTTGATCAAGTAGCCTCAGGAATGGAGAGAGGAGAGTTGAATGGGCTGGGAACCAGGCAGGTTCTGACAATTGATATGCCAAAAGAGCTGTCTATTTAGGAAAAAAATAGTTTAAAACTGCATTAGGCATTAACTCAATGAATCAGAATTTTTAAAAATGCAAATTAAACAGTCATTTGAATAATGTCAATGAATAAAATAAATAAAAATTTAAAAGAAATAATAAAAAAAGACATTTTAAAGTCCAGGAAACATTATTCTTAGCTAGTTTGCTAATAATTCTGCCAGCAAAGTGAAGTGAAAAAAGGCTCTAAAGTGGATCCTAAGGATTAAATATGGCTGGCTCTCACTTTTATACCAGATCTTTTAGCAAACACTGTTAAAATAGGAATACTTAATTACTTAAATATTAAGCAATACAATTGCTTAGGCAAATAAAATTAATTGGAGTAACACATATGTTTCTAAGTGGAAAAATGTAGATTATATGATCCAAAAGAGTAGTAAAGCATTCTTTTTATTGTGTACATAAATAATAGAAGAATTAAATGCAGTAAAGATTTCCAAACAGAGGTCACTCACTGGCATTTCAAATATGTGTTGACCAGAATTAAGCCAACATTTAGGTATCTGGCAATTTCACATCAAATATAAATTTCAAACTTCTCTAATAAAAAAGGAAGACTTAGCACAGTGGTTTCACTTCCTCACTGTTCCAATCAGCTGGATCTGTACCCATTAGCTATCCAGCTCACCAAGCAATACGTTTGTCCTCACAACCCACTTCACCATATATATATGACCTGTCCACCCTTAGAGGTGTTTGTGTCAACACCCCAGTCCTCAAGGAAGGAATCCAAGCCTGCAGACATAAACCTCAGAAAGTGTTCTCAAAGGCAGGAACATGCTCCCCAAAAGCGCATCTCAGTGCAGGCGGCTCAAAGTGTTGGGGAAAGACAATCCCACTCCACCACTAAATGTGCAGCTATGGCTAGTGAATTTACCATTGAGATTATTTTTTCTAAGAAGCCACCTTTTCATTTTTATCTTTTCTCTTTATGTTCTTCAAGATAAGAAAGAATGTGGAGATGCATAACCTAGCCAAGAGCTACTTGGCTGAACTTATCAAAGAAGAATGCTGGAATTCAATGGCTGTGAAGGGTCGCGCTCTTAAGGTAACAGATATAACCCAGGTACAAAACTTTGGTGAGAATTTTCACTGACAGTCTCATGGCAGGAAATTTTCTTTAGAAAAATTTTTTTGAAATCCATATATAACAAAATGCTGAAAGCATGCTTGCCCCTTCCTATACTGGATTTCTCCTAGACACGTCACTTTCTCCTGATTCATTCTTCCCTCTGCTCAGTCCCCATGTGCTTCCAAGCCAGCATCTCTTAAGATCTGTCTTAGCACCCTTTCCTTCTTTCCTCTGTGACACTCCCTGCATTCAGGTCTTTTTTTTTTTTTAAAGATGACCGGTAGGGGATCTTAACCCTTGACTTGGTGTTGTCAGCACCACGCTCACCCAGTGAGCAAACCAGCCATCCCTATATAGGATCCGAACCCGTGGCCTTGGTGTTGTCAGCACCGCACTCTCCCGAGTGAGCCACGGGGCCGGCCCTGCATTCAGGTCTTAATATCTATCTCATCCAAAAGGCCACCTCACTCACATTTCACACAGATAAAAAGGTAGATAAAATATTGTCCACATTTCTACCTGTGCCTGCCTTCTTATTTTCTAAGGAGCTGTTCTTCATGCTTTTTCACTGAGATTCCTCCCAACACAGTTTTCCTCTCTGTGTAGGGTGACCAGAAGTCTCCGTTTGTGCCTGTGATCCTAGAGTAATTATTAACAGCACCCTTTTTCATTTTGAAATATGCCCCCAGTTTGGATAGTGAAGTATATAATCACCCTACATTTATGTGATTGAGTATTGTTCCAGGACAGGGTTTCTCAAGAGCAGCACATTTTGGGCAGTTTAATTCCTTGTTGAGGAGGCTGTCCTATGCCTTGTCGGATGTTTAGCAACATCCCCGGTTTCCATCTGCTAGAGACATCCCATATCCCCAGTAGGGACAACAGAAATGTCTCCAGATATTGCCAGATATCTTGGGGTCGGGGTGGGGAGGGCTGGAAGGTAGACAAAATTGTTCGTAGTTGAGAACCGCTGCTCTACACATAAATCCTTCACAGAAGCACAGTATTTTATACAAAGTTCATACAAATACTAATGGAATTCATTGTTTCATTTTAAAGGTTTTCATCATTGATTTCATTCATGTATTACAGATAACCTATGAGTTATTTTTAATCAGAGTAGACATCCCCCACTTCATCCCCAGATACACACAATTGTACTAACAATGTATTTATTTCATCTTACTTTTTTTTCCCCCAAGTGCTTTCACCTCCCCTATGTGGTTGAGAACTTCCCAATGAAAGAGCGCACAGATGAAGAGTTGAAAGAATTGAAGAGGGTTTTGCAGCAAAAGAAGATTGAAACAGAGTGTCTTAAAGTACAATCTTAAATATATATGTATTTATATAAGTGATGAGCTTTCTTTCAGGGTCTCCTTTATGCAGACTTGAGTTAGGGTACAATTTAGGATAAGTTATATTAAACAGATTTGAACTTAAATTGTATCCCAGCTCAAATCTGTTTAAGACTGTTAGATATTTTACTTCTTGTTAATTTGTAGAATATATTCTTATAAATATAGGTGCCTATATCCACACAATAAATCAAGGATCCTATATTCCATCCAATATTGGCTTGCTCTCAAATATGAGGATACACTTTAAGAAATGGGGTTTTGTTCTTATCCTGTCCAGAGGTTGTCTTCATCCACACATACCCTTTTTTACCCTCCCATATCACTAGGGATTGTGTTTTAAGATAATTGACCAAGGATGAAGTAGAATCCATTTTGACAAAATTATGGTTTTCCTAAAGCAATCCCAGCTTTTTTAGCCATAATCTCTTCAAACCACTAAAAAACACTGCCCCTTTTGGTGTAGTTTTGTTATGGCTAGAACTTAGCATCCGTTCTTTTTCAGAAGCATAAAATGAAGACATACTTAATTCTTCTTAACTTTCACCCCCCAGTCCTATGTGAACAAGTTCCTTTGTAAAATATGAAGAGAAGATATATTTTTTAATGCTTAAGAACCAAGAAAGACTCAAAGTATTTACAAGCGGGTGTCATTATGACAGAGAAATATAAATATTACATACTATCAAGGACAATTTTTGTGCTTTGATTTATCCACAGTTTATCAGTTTCTGAAGCTTTAATCTCTTCTGCTGCAGTTTCAGGATCTATTAATCACTTTGAATTCAACTGTTGGCAAGACAATTTAACATCTTAAAATGATTGTTGAAATAAGTTGTAACAAAATTGCCCTTTAGAAAATTCTTATTATTGCATAACTTCCATGTCATCCTTTTCTATATTTAGCTGCGAAGGGAAATTGTAGAGGTTCAGTCTCCAGCTGTCTTGGTTAAACAGCGTCATGAAGAGGATGATGAAGAAGAGGAAGATGAAAACAAGACAGTAAAAAACACCAACTTGCTCAATTACCTTCTTGGTAGTCTGAGTACTGATTTTGGGGTAGATACCTCTTTGTTGTCAAGCCAATTGGAACTGCATTCCAGAGAGGAGAAAATCAACCAAATTATACTGCTGAAAGTGGGTGGATTTTCTGTTTATACTCAGAAATTTCTAAAATTCTCAGTCAGGTGTCTTTCAAAGGCTCCCACTGAAACCTAAGGCCAATCAAATAATGTCTTTAAAATACATAGAGAAATATATTGATGGCTAGTGTCCATGTCTTTTAGACAGAGCTTGTGTACAAGAGTTGCTTTCAACCATTTGGACTGGGTTCTGTGATACCAAGTTTTCTAAAGAACATCTCGCATTGGCTGACACCACAAACCATTCTTCTGCTTAGATATTCAGTAAGCTCAAAGAGATAAAAGAAACTCTTGAATTCCATCTTCTTGGTAACCCAGATATCAATTAGGATTTCCTCATAACATCAAAATGTGATTCCTTATTGAATTAGTCCATTTCTGTTGCTTATAACAAAATACCTGGAACTGAGTAACTTACAAGAAAATGAGATTTATTGCTGACAGTTTCTGAGGCTGGGTAGTCCAAAGTCCAGGGAGCACATTTGATGAAGGCCTTGTTGGTGATGACAGTGACAGCAGGGTATCACATTGTGAAATGGTGGAGCAGAGAGAAAGACTCAGCTCCTCATTCACTCTCCTTTTAAAGCCCTCAGAATCCCACTCCCGACCATCATTTTTAATCCATTCATTACAGTATGGTCCTACAACCTAATCACCTCTTCAAGGACCCATCTTTTAATTACCATAATAGAATTTCCCACCCTCAACAATTACAGTGGAGATTTAAGCTTCAGTGGGGTTGGGGGCAAGGGGGCATCCAATCTACAGAATTTATCAATCTGCTTAACCTGGAGAAATACAATTTCCTCTCTAAGACTTACGTAAATTCTGGTGTTCAGGGTCCTTCTGGTTCTAAGCTCCTGCTCTTTACTTTCCACCAAACAAATCAGTCTCAGAACACATTTGTAGATGAAAAGACCCTACTTAAGTTTTTTGAAAATGCAATGACTAAGATTGTACCAATGAAGATAGCTTGAAATGTAATATTGGCTATTCCTTTTCCTGAAAGTCCTTCAGCCATGTCAGCAGTCCGACTTCTAGTCTCCTACCATGTTACTCAGCTCCTTCTTCCTATTCTTTTCTCTTCTTCTCTTGTAACCCCTGGAATTCCTCTTCACTTATACTCAGAATACTAGTTGTTTCTTTGATGCTCAGTGTCTGCTGACCCATGCCTTCAAGGTCTCACCTTCTTGCTGCTTCATTAAGGTGTTTTCCTTCAAGGAGGTGATTTAAGCCCAAGATAAATTCTGGTGCTAGCTGTTAAGATCATTTCTTCCACCCTACTTTAATGGTTCCATGTTCACTAGGATAAATATATGGACTGAACTCTGATGGTATCATAAAGGCCAGTTTAAGTTGACCAATCAGCCAGAGTGGGGGCAATCCAGTTGGACCCACTGCCACCTTAGGAATTGGCTAGTCCAGCTGGCTAGCTCGGCTTCCCTTCCTACCTGAGAATGACCTGTCCATATAGAGGATTGGCGTGTGGTAGAGTTCCTCTGGGAGGTTTTCCAAACACTGTCTACAGGCCATCTCTTTCTCCCCACATCTCCCCCAAACAAGGTTCAAAGAAAAGATACTTGCCAACTTAAATGCTGTTATTTCTTTTTAAATATTTTATGTTGGATTTTGTACAAAAGTAGAAAGAATCGCCCAATGAGCCTCCAGGTACTCATCACCCACTACAACATATATCAACATATCTGCATATTGAATTACAATTTACATTTCAGGAAGTAGGTTATGGTATAACAGTTACATTGTTGCCTTAATCCTATCCATGGTTGGATGCCACTGTAGGTTACTGAACCAAGAAATAATATAAATAGTATTCCAGAAAGATTAGTTTTACCATCTTTTTTTTTTTTTTTTTTTCGTGTCCGGCAACGGATCGCAACCCTCAGTGTCGCGCCCGTACCGGACCGGGACCGGCAACGGGATCGCAACTCTCAGTGTTGCGCCCGCACCTCGCTCAGCCAGTGAGCGGGAACCGGTCTGTATGTGGGATCCGAACCCTCGGCGGGAGCGCCACTGCGCTCCCAAGCGGCACACTGTAGCAGTGCGCCACTGGGCCGGCCCTAGTTTTACCATCTTAAAAGATAATTTACAGAATGATTTTGAAGGGAAGGTATAACCTTAAGATCATATTGCCACTAAAGATGTAATATGTGATGCATTTTCAATAACATATTGATATTTCAGGATATCATTTACAAGGTAAAAACTGCTTTCAATAATGAGTTTGATGCTGCATATAAACAAAAAGAGTTTGAAGTTGCACGTGTGAAGGAAAGAAATGTTAGAGTTCAAGAAATTATTTTAGATCTTGACTTGGGAGAAAAAGTCTGGCAACCAGGATTTGACGACTCTGAGAAGCCGGAGAGAACTCTTGTTGTGGAAAGTTGGGAGGTACTGGCTAGCTACCTTATCCCTTCCCTTCTTTGTCAACAGATTTTTCCTAGCTCCTATTTATTCATCTTCTTGTTTGTACTACTGGAAGGGGCTGTATTAGGTAGCTCTCTCAGTTATAAGCGACAAAAATAGGTGACATAGCCTCAGCGATAATGAGGATTTCTTTTACGAACCCTGGAGTCCAGAGAAGATTTGGATACTGAGCCTAGGAAGGAGCAGGAACCAAAGACTGGAGCCTTGTGTGGAGTCTGGAGACCTTCTCTCTTCGTCTCTGAGCTCACTTCTTTCTGCATTTCACCTTCCTCTGGCAAATTCTACTTTGTATCTCCTCCACTCAAGAGAGCAGCTGGTCTGAATTAGAATCTCTTTAGTCCCAGTTCCAGGTTTGCTTGGGACAGGGCTCCTGGTCCAGCCTGGGTCCAGTGCCTGTACCCAGCGAGGTCCTCACTGTGGGAATGAGGCTGATGGAGCGCCAGAAATTATCTAGGTCATTTAGCAGGATGTCACTGGACAGCCTTCTTCAATGGTGTTGGCACGGAGGCAAACAAATGCTTGCAAATAAGTGCTTCAAGAAAATAATTATAATATGACCACATTTCATTTTAAAAAGTAAAAAATGCTAGAGAATACTCAAAGAAACTCACATGAAATTAACTTGACTACTATGGGGCAAAAGATAATAGTGGCATTTAGAAGTAATAGCAAATATTTTTACAGTCCCTGTGAAATGCCCATCACCATTCTAAGTGCCCTAGATAAATTAAAATGAATTTATTATTTTAAGACTTTATAAGGTAGGTAGAAATATCACCTCCATTTTACAGATGAGGAAGGTGGGGCTCAGAGAGGTAAAGTAGCTTGGCCACAGTTACAAAGCTAGCAAATACCAGAGTTGAGGTTTGAACCCAAACCATCATGCTTCTGAGGACATCCTCTTAACCTCTGCGCTCAACTGTACTTGTTTAAGCAAGTCGTTTTTTCCTGAACCTTACTCTTGCTATGTGACCTAAGACCCTGGAGCAAGGTGACCGCAAAGACTTCACTCTGCCACTCTCTGGAGGGCCCTGCTCTGAGCAATTGTTTCATACATGCATAATTAACCCCATCACGATTATTTCTCCTTGCGCTCTGATCCATTCCACATTCAGAAGAGTGATCTTGTTACAAGCCAAATTTTCTCTGTCCCTCCCCTGCCAAAAGCCCTGCAGTGGCTCCTCGTTCCACTTAGGATAAGTCCCGCTCCTGCCCTCTCCTTGTCCAGCTGTTCTTGCACTCGCGCTGTTCTGGCCAGGCTTCCATTCTCACAGTCCCTCAAATGCCCCAAGCTCTTGATCTCTTAGGACCCCCCCCGCCCCGTCCTTCAGGATTTGGCTTAGATGACACATCTTTGAGTCTCCTTTCCCCCCTCCCTTTAATCTAGATCAGGTCCCCTGTTATAATCTCTTAGTGATAGAGACAAGCTTTGAGAGCTAACAGAGAAGTAAAAATCTTCTTTCCAACCCTCTCATTTTAGACCCCATCTTCATTCAAAACTAGGAAATTAGTTGCGAAATCTGGATAGTCCTTTTAATCCCCTTAATAGTTTCTAATCTTCTCCCACTGTGTGGAAGGAAAGTTTAGTTTGAATTTTGCAAGAATAACAGCAGAAAACTGCATTTTCCCTTTCAGATAAAAGCTCGCAGACATGTTAACCCATGGCAGAAAGCGAAAACAGGATTGATTGTGACCCGTGAAATGGAGCGTTGGTTTCAGTCAAAGGTATGCAGCTTTGTTCAAACAGTACCCAAGACCCTCTTTCCTTTAGGGATACTTGTGTCTTGGTTTGGCTTAATAGTCTTAGACTCCTACCAATGTAGAAACACATCAAGGCATCTGTCATGTTCGGAGGTCACTCGAATCTCGGTCTCTTCTCTTCTCCGTGTCATTGCCCACCTTCCTCAACCTAAATGCAGCCATTCTGTCACTGGGGGAGGCTGCCCCTGGGGCCACCCAGAGTGTCAGATCTCTGTCTCACTGCCCTCCCTGACTCTGACTCTTTCCCAGAGCACTGACATGCGATTCCGAGCCCTGATGGACATGATGGGAGGTGTTCTGGATGTCAAGAAAGAAGACATTTTGAGAATGGTGAGATTTCTGACCATCCTTGTGGAAGGTGGAATGGGGTAAAAAAAAGATACTTAAATTTTACCATTTTTGTCTTATGTGACCTGAGTTTTAGAAATTCTACACCAACAAATATTATACAAGCTCCTAGTACCTTATAAACATACCACATTAGGCAAATAAGAAGAAATTTGAAACCACAGGTTTGCCTTCTGACAAACAGCAACAAATGCACCAAAATAAGCAATCACAGTGGCTTCGGTCTCTACAGAAGTCTGGGACACTGCTTCATCTGGGATGCTCCAGATACACCAGGAAGTGTTTTCTTTGATATGTGACATAGAACTTCCTGGAGGTCAGGTGTAGTTCTAGGCATAAAGATACCAACACATACCTAAGTGTCTTGGTATATCCCAAACTTCCCACCCTCACCTAAGTCACAGAAAAACAATTGTAACATTTTTTCATATCCTTTGGTCAAAGTGTAAGGTCATTGTCCTTGCCAATGTAAAGGGCTTTTTAAAAACATTAATGACAACTGAGCTCTTACTGTACTGCTACGTTTATGTTTGAGCTAGAGTATATGCTTTCCTTTATGTCTTCAGGTGATTCCTCAGCCTGATTTCATGGCAAAACCTGATGCTTTGTGGACTGAAGAGGAAAGGAAACAATTCAAAGATTATGAGAAAAAAGTCAAGGATTTAAATGAAGAAAAAGATAAGTATAGAAAGGTCAGAAGAGCAAAGAATTAATATAACCTATCATATCCAGTATCATTTCAAATGATTTTTATTTTCTCAGTGTTTTTAATAGCTTACGGATAGTGTTTCAGTTTAAATTCTGAAGAGAATTTAGAAAAGTAGGTGAAGATAAATTTAAGGAGTTAGAACAATTTAAAACAAATAGAACATATAGCAATGGTTTAAAAAGTTCTTATTTATTTCAGCATTTCCCACATAGTTACGATTCATTCAGTCCTTCATCCACTCTTCACATGTTTAATGACCATCTATTATAGTATGTTCAAGTCACTGCAATTTGAGTTCAGTAATACTTTTGCTTGATTTGTTCTCAATCTCAAGGAAAGGATTTGCAAAAAGAGGACACAGTCAATGCAGCATACATTTGACAGTTCTGATGTGAAGTTCTTGCAGTGATGTTCTGCTACTTCCATTGCAAAGAAATAGCCCTGCATTAAAATTACTTATAATTACAATAGAGATATAAAAGATGATGGTATACAACCAAGATACTAATGTTTATTCTTCCGTGGAGAAAATAAAATCATACCATCATTTGAGGCAGGACAGCTTGGCAGCTTTATTGCAGCCGTATGTCCTGAACCTCTTTGAACCTATTGTTTGCTTGTCTGTGTTTTTATTCACTGCAGTCCTCTAAGGCCCCTTTCATTTTAATCTAAGATAGTTCTTACTTAAAAACCAAAATTAGCAATCCTGGAGTTGAAGATTTCAAGGAGTTAGGGAGTACAGATACCTAAGAAGTAAAGAGTGGTGACCATTCAACTGCACTTAGTCCGTGGTTTTCTGTTGTGAAATAGTCCTCTGCCTACACCCTCACTTCCCTGGTCCTTATATTCACTGGTGAAACACCAGCCTTGATTAAATCCAGTTAACTCTGCCTTCTCTGCATTTGTACCCATGCAGTGGACAAAGAAAAAATACTGACAGTTTTCACTCTAAATTAATTACCTTAATCTCAGTTGGGTCCTTAGAGCTGCTCAGTGATGCTGTTGCATTTTCCCCCAGCCCAGTGCTCTCACACTGCACTGCCAGTCCGCAACCCCTGGGGGATCTTGCTAAAAATGCAGATTCAGATCCCATCGTAGTCACTGTGGTTGTTCTGGGGAAATGGAAGGACCTGAGTGAGACTCTTCTAACAAGCTCCCAGGCGGTGCTGCTACAGCTGGCCAGTGGACCTAGAGGACCATTTCACACCTGCTCCTCTGTCCTCCAGCTTTCCACCCCTAACCCCCTCAACTCACTCTCATCGTACTTTTTATTTCACTGGGAGAAGAGAAGCAACTAGAAGAGATTTTCCTTACTCTTCTGCCGCTGCATCTACCACCCAGCTGCACTGAATTCCATAGTCTCCCTGCCATTCTGTGTCTTACAGATGAAATGGTCTTACATCCACCCACGCCTGGTTCTCCACTTGCACACTAGACGCCACCCGTCTCAACTACTCCATGTCATTATTTATCAATTTGTCCTTCTTTTTTCTGCATTATCAATTTTCCCTCTCTGTTGGATTTTTCCCATCAGCATAGACACATGCTATAATCTTATACATTTTATAAAATGTATAAATCTTATATCTCTCTCACCTTATTTTTTTTAAGTGCTCCCTTGAAGGGGATACCAACATTCTTTCTACTATTCTTGTGACTTTTGGGTTACTCTGAATTTATTTCAAAATGAAAAGCAAAAGAAAAAAAACCCAACTCCCTTGACTCCACTTTTCTCTGGATTCACTGCTCAATGTCTCTGCTCCCCTTTACAGCATAACTCAAAAAATTTTTAAAAATCTACGTTTGGGCCGGCCCGGTGGCGCACTGGAGAGTGCGCCGCTTGGGAGTGCTGCAGCGCTCCTGCCGAGGGTTCGGATCCCATGTGGAGACCGGTTCCCGCTCACTGGCTGAGCATGGTGCGGGCGCAACACCAAGGGTTGCGATCCTGTTACCGGTCAGTAAAAAAGACAAAAAGGAAAAAAAAATCTACATTCACTGTCTCCAATTTCTCTCTTCTAATTTTTTTAAAATACTTTATTATGGAAAATGTCAAACAAGATGAAAGTAAAGAGACCAGTGTAATGACCCCATTTTCCAGCTTCCACAATGATCTATTCATGGCCAATCTTGTTTCATTTTATACCTCTACCTACTTCCCTAACAGTGGATTATCTTTTCACCAATTTTTATTTTATAATTGTTCAAATGTACAGATATGTTATGTGCATAATACAATCCATATACCACATATATGTACCAATAGTACATGCATATGTCGTATACCTATATTCATCGATTTTTAATATTGCCACATTGTTCTCTATCTTTTTCTCCTGAATAATTGGAGATAAAATGAAGACATTATGACAGTCCTAAATACTACAGTATAAACTCCTAAGAACAAAGACATTCTCCTATATAACCACAATTAAAATTATCATACAAAAGAAGTTTAATATTAATACTATTGTCTAGTATACAGCATATATTAAAATTTCCCTGTCGTCCAAGTGATGTCCTTCATAGCTTTTTTTTACAGTTGTTAATCCAAGAATCTGATCAATTGCACTTAGTTTTCATGTCCTTTTAGTCCTCTTTAGTTTAGAACAGGTCCACCGCTTTGTGTGTCTGTTCCATGACATTGGCATTTTGAAAAAGTCCAGGCCAAGTTGTTTTGTGGAATGTCCCTCAAATTGGATTTGATTGTTTTCTCCTGATTAGATACAGGTAAAATATTTTTGACAATAATACTAAGTAGGTGATGCTGTGTCTTCAGTGCACCGTGTCAGGAGGTACCTGATGTCAGTTAGTCCCGTTATTGGTGACGTTAAGTATGATCACTGGTAAGGAGATTCTCCAGATTTCTTCATTACATAAATTCTCATTCTCCCTTGTATTTAATCAGTAATGTGTGGTGTGGCATTTGGAGACTGTGCGACTCTCTGTTCATTCTGTCTTTTGGCATCCATTGATGGTCCTTGTCTGAATCAATCATTACTACAGTGATTGCAAAATGGTGCCTTTCTGGTTTTTATCATTTATTCCCTATTTATTAGTATTTTTCTGCAAAGAAGAGCTTTCCTTCTGCCCTGCCCTAGGCCCACTCTTTTTTTAAAATATTCTTCTTAAAATTTAATGTGTTTTAATCCATTTCTGTCATTATTCTTTCTGATGTTCAAAGTGTTTGGAGTGTCCTTTTCATGTGTCCCCATCAGTTTTTTAGCACTTTCTCCCTTTCCAACACAACAAGATGTTCTAGGTACCTGGAATCAGCTATTTTCTAATACCTGATTCCTTTTACTGAGAATTGGTATTTAGAGACCAAAATCTGGGCACAAGATGTGCTCATTGCTTCAGGTCATTTCAGTGGACAGAGCTTGACACACACACGTGCGCACACGTGCATACACACACACGCACGCGTGCATACACAGCCTGTTACCTCAGTTCCAATTCAACAAATTTCCTTGTACCTTTTTTTTTATTTCTAGAATATAAGGGTTCTGGAAAGTTCATGGAAGAATAAAATTTAAAGATAATACAACTCTTTCCGTGAACTTTTTGAAGTATCCTCATATATCCTGCTGAGGGTACATCACCAGCATGTCATGTGGAGAATTATTTGGACCAATGCTTTTCCCCCACTTCTGTGTGGATAACATTATCAACTTGATACACAGTTAAGTTCTTTAAACAATGGTGTTCTTCTTTGAAGAGGAGGTGTCTTCTGGTTTTATGATTTTCTTTTGTTTGTACAGGACCCTTAATTTCCACATCTTCCTTCCTTCTTTCCCTTCACCCCTAAGTCTCTAAGGGCCACCTCCCTCTTCCAAGCTGCCTTTTTCTCCCCAGGAGCAGTACCACTGAGACTACACTTCTGCCTTTCAAGTCCCTCCTTTTTGACTTCCCAGTAGCTCCTCTTCTGACACCTCTACAGCTACCACCCTAAAACAAACCACTGTCATCTTTTCCAGATTTAATGCATTCATTTCCCTGCTCTCCCCCTCCCTGATCCCTGTATCTCATCTCATTTTATCTCCTGTCATTCTCTCCTTCATTAACTGTTCTGGCTCCACTGAATTTCCTGCTGTTCCTCAAAGATACCCAGCAAACTCTTGACTCAGACACCCTTAGCTCGTTTCTGCTGCAGGGTCTTAACATGCTGCATCCTTTGCCTGGAGTGCTTTTTGCCCATTTGACTTCCCCCATATGACTTGCTCTCTCACCTCTTTGAGATTTCTACTCAATTGTCACCTGATCTGCCTATATACCATGGAGATCTCTTCCACATCCAATCCTGCTCTATGTCTCCCTTACCCTGCTCTATTTATCTCCATAGTACTGTGAACCTGGAAAGAAACTGAGGCATAGCCTAAACAACGAAGAGTTGATGTGACCCAAATTGAGTGACTGCAGCCCAGGAGGCACTTCCAAGTTACCTTGAGAAGTGTTCTGGAGAAGCAAAGAGGAAGTTGGGCTTATAAAGGGAAAAGGACCAAACAGAGGGGAGGCAGTTACAAAGTTGTTCATCTAACATTACGATTGGTGCTAACATCTTTAAGTAGTCTTGGTAGTAGAGGGTTGATTGTAATAGTCTGTGAGATGATCCTCAACTAGAAATTCTTCATTTTGGTAGGAGGTATGTGGAGTAACAGTCAACAGATAGTCGGCAGATGTGTTGGTCATTCTTCCAGGAGGTTGTGACCCTTGTGATTGATTAGAAAAGTTTGAAAGTTTAGGGTGTCTGGCTGTGATTGATTGCATGAGTTCAGGGTGCCCTCGGATGAGACGTGCCTGAAGCTCAAGCTAAAATGGCCTCCTCAACTCTATTTTAGGTGCTTTGACCAGACTGATGCCATTTTCTTTCATCAGTACTTATCACCACCTGTCCTTCTTCATTTTTTAATTGTTTACTTATTGTCCATCTCCTCTACTAGATTATAACACAAAAGCAGAGAATTGGCCTGTTCCCTGCATCTCCTTTCTCAGCATCTGATACAAAAGATTTTAGGCAAAATCAGATTATCCCAGGAATGTTTGAGGAAAAGTGATATTCATATCTTCAGTGAATACTCCTTGAGGGCCCACTGTGTACTTGGCACCATGTTAGGGCCTGAGGAACATGTGTGAACAAGACAGACATTGTCCCCTGACCCATGTTGCTTATTTTCTGGAGTGGAGAGGGCTATATATTAGCTGCACGTTCACAAAATAATTATTTAATTACAATGTGACAAATTAGAAAAAACAAGTTTGGGTGCTACCTATGACAGTAAACACAGAGGCACCAACTTAGACTGGGGCCATTGGTGCCCACCAGGTCCCTTTCACAGGTTGACGTGCCTATCCTCTCACTGCTATGAGTGCTACAGATAAAGGCTTATACCTGAGACCTTCTCTGGAGCAATGCCCCGGCTGATCAAGGGAACATCCTTGTCCAGAGACACCTGCAAGGTTACATCACTGCCCCGCCCAGGGCAGCCAAATGACTGATGAGGCTGGAAGAGTTGGAGTGAGGAGTGGGGTACAAAAGCCCAGCCCCCTTGTTGCGAAGTGCGACAACTCAGCAGAGCCTCTCTCATTACTGCCCAGCCCTGGAATCAGGCCAAGGCTGGATCGCCTGAGATCACACATCGCTCAGCTCCTGCCCGCCCTGCTGCCCTCATTCTCTCCCAGGTGTCTGCCAAAGAGCAGTCCTGCCAGAAATCATGTGCGCTGGATTCCTGTTTCAGGCTTTGCTTCTAACACTTAAGACAGGGCCCAGTGAAGGCTTCCTTGGGAATGTGCCATTTATGGTGGCATTTATGCTTGCATTGCAAAAAGGAGAAAGAGGTGAACAGGTCTGGGAGTAGAAATGAAAAGTGGACAGATGGAAGAGCATGTGAGAAGAATCTGGGGCACTTGAACAACGAGCAAAAGGCCATTTTACATTATAAAATGGTCCTTTCAGGACCAGAGACCCTCAAAGCCTGGAACCTCAGAGTTTTAAAGAAGGGTGTGTGGAGGACATTTAACAGTCTGGCCTTGGCTGGCTGAATCTGTGGCCATTTGCCATGTGAGGATGCTCCGTTATCTAAAAACGCAGCATCCCGAGGAATAGCCACTCAGATGCCACAGTCCGTGGGCCTTTTCCATCCTTATGAAATAGTGATATAAATTACAAGCAAATTGACCCTGAGATGTGCTTTTTCTGTATTTGTTTTATTTTAATATTTCCTCACTGCTTAAGTAGCTTAATTTGGATGATATTTCTCCTTGCATTATATGTCTCTATACTTTTGTCAATTTGGCGGGGGGATGGGAGGGGTGCTGACCAGTAAGGGGATCTAAACCCTTGACCTTAGTGTTACAAGGCTGCACTCTAACCAAGTGAGCTAACTGGCCAGCCCTGTGTGCCTCTATACTTCTGGCCAAACCTCTTTCTCTATCATCTTCTCATAGTCAATCTCTTTCCTTATTAAACTGGCATAGAGAGAACTTGGTTTTTTAAAGTAAATCTTTTATCATCATAATAATAATTGATTCAAGTAAGAACCATCAACAGATGCTAAAGCTGGTAGGTAAGAACGTGATGAGGAACAAGATAATTATATAGTCAAAGTATTTTCCCACAAATTAACTAATTCTAAATGGAAAAACAGTAACGTTACAGTAGAGAAACTGGCAGACACTACTTAACCAAATATTCCAAGTTAACACCACTAATGATGAAACAAACCAACATCATGTGTCTCCTGATGTGGTAAACTGAGGACACAACTTAACTTATGTAGTGTTCCTGCTAAAAATGTGTAACCTGGGTCTAAGCATGAGAAAACATCAAATCATCCTAAACTGAGTGACACTCTATGAAAGAAGCAGCCTGTCCTCAAGTGTCTGAAACTTGCTTTCAAACTGTTCAGAAAAAGGTAGGTAGGTAGATACGTAGATAGAGAAAGTGATAAGGCAAATGGGGCAGAATGTCAATAATTGGTGAATTTGGTAAAAAGTAAGTAGGAATTCTTTGGAATATTCTTGCAACTTTTCTGTAAGTTTGAAGTTATATCAAAATAATTTATAAATAGTTATTTTAACTGGGATGAGAAGATACCTCAATGTGGTTTTGATTTGCATTTCCCTAATGATTAATGATGTTGAGGATTTTTCGTATACCTTTTGAGAAATGTCTGTTCAGATAATTTTCCCATTTTTTAATTGGATTGTTGTGGTGGTGGTTGTTTGGTGTTTTTTGTTTTTTGTTTCATTTTTTGCTATTGAGTTGTTCTAGCTCTTTGTATATTCTGGTCATTAATCCCTTGTTGGGTAGGTAGTTTGCAAATATTTTCTTCCATTCTGTAGGTTGTCTCTTCACTTTGCCAGTTGTTTGCTGTGAAAAAGCTTTTTATTTGATATAATTCCATTTGTCTATTTTTGCTTTTGTTGCCTGTGCTTTTGAGGTTTTACCCCCAAAAAAACTTTGCCCAGAACATATCCTGTAGCATTTCCCCAATGTTTTCTTCTAATAGTTTCATAGTCTCAGACCTTATATTTAGATCTTTAATCCATTTTTAGTTGGTTTTGGTATATAGTGAGAGATAGGAGTCTAGTTTTTTCTTCTGCATATCTTTTTTTTTCCTTTTAGTTTTATCTTTACACAATGTAAACAATGTAAACATTTTCTGTGGTCCTTACCAATTTCTCTATAGCTCCCCCTCCCTCTTTCCCACCTCTGGTGGTCTCAGTTCTTTTCAGTTATCCCAGCACAATTTATTGAAGAGATTGTCTTTTTTCCAATGTGTGTTATTGACTTCTTTGTTGAAAATGATTTGGGTTTACTTCTGGGTTCTCTATTCTGTTCTATTTGTCTGTGTGTCTGTTTTGATGCCAGTACCATGCTATTTTGGTTACTATAGCTTTGTAGTATATTTTGAGGTCAGGCAGTGTGATGCTTCCAACTTTGTTCTTTATACTCAGGATTGCTTTGGCTATTCAGGGTCTTTTGTGGTTCCATGAATTTTACGGTTGTTTATTCTATTTCTGTGAAGAATGTCATTGGTATTTTGATAGGGATTGCATTGGATCTGTAACTTACTTGGGTAGTATGGATATTTTGACAATATTAATTCTTCTAATCTAGGAACATGGAATATCTTTTAATTTTGTTTTGACCTCTTCAATTTCTTTCATCAGTGTTTTATAGTTCTTCTAGAGTTCTTTCACTTCTTTGGTTAAATTTATTCCTAAGTATTTTTTCTGGAAGCTATTGTAAATGGGATTACTTTCTTGATTTTTTTGTATTTAAAGATAAAAATAATTTGTAACAATATGCCTTATATCGATCTATAAGTGTTGTTCTTTTTAGAAATATAAATTTATAGCTTTCCACTTACCTACTATGTAAGGTAAGCTACGTTAGCTCAATATCCTGGTACAACTTTTAAAAGGGGCAGGGGGACTTTCTTACCTTGGTGTAGAACTGTTTAGAAGGACAAAACATACAGAAAACAAGAGAGTACAAATACATAAACATATGTATATGAATGCTCACTTCTTGTTTCCTTAAAAATATAAAAAATTCCATGAAAATGTGTTCAGAGTTTGAAAACAAAATCAAGATTTTTTTTAGAACCAAATTGTGTGCCTTGAAATTGCCATCCTGTATAGAGAGTCAGAATTTTCTGGAAAGATTCCCTGTAATTTGTATTTGTATTTGTAATTTGTTTTACTAGGCCTATGTCTGCCTGCATTATTAGCCATGATCAGTGATTTTTAACCTATTTCCCCCAGTGTTATCTTTTCTTAAGCAAAAATCTCAGACACACAGTGTACTAAATAGATCCAATAGAACATCTCTGGTTGAAGGGGGACAGGGGGCAAAGGGCCCAGAACACCTCACAAGATCTGTCCTCCACTTGCCCCTTCCTTGTGGCAAAATGCAAACACTACTTGCCAGAAGGATTTAATATCCCTAAACGTTAACTTTACTATTGCCTTCCTTTCAGTCATTAGAAGCAGAACTAAAAAAACTTCAAACCTCTATTCAAGAAAGCACACAGAACTTTGATGACTATTTGAAAAGACTCTTTGAAAGGAGAGTGAAGGCAGAGATGGTTGTCAATCAGGTAAACAAAGGCTTTACTTACGTGACTTTTGCTTTTAAGGAGACAGTGGCCTTCCGTTGTTCTTAGGATAAAGACCAGCACCCTGACCAGGCGCCAAGGTCTTGGATGCTCTGAGCCTTGGATGCTCCTCCCCAGCCTCATCTTGTGCCACCCTTCCCTTCACTTGCCACACTTCCTTTTTCAGTGTCTTGAACACACCCAGTATCCTCTTTCCTCATGACTCTGCCAGTAATACTCTCTACCAACTTCTTTGCCTCCTAGACTGTATCTTGTCATCCTTTCAGTCACAGCTTAAAAGTTAGATTCTCAGATTAGGTTATATCTTCCTACTATATATTCCATTCTTTTCCTTTCTACCACTTAGTGCAGCTGAATTTTAATTTATGTGAGATTATTTTTAATGCTTCCAAGACTGTAAGCTCCATGAGGGCAAGGACTAAATCTTTCCTGTTCATCCCTGTATCTCCAGCAAGTAGCAAAAGGCTTGGTCCATAGTATACGTTAAATGAATAAATAATTCTCATGCCCCAAAAGACCAGATGAAAAAGTCTGTCTTAATTTCCTCCAACAGTAGGAATATAAATGAAGTATGCAGTAACTAGAAACAAGAAGATCAAGGAGCGATGTCTTTAAATTCTGAGAGAAAATTATTTCTGACATTGGAATCTATACCCAGCCAAACTATTAATTGAGTTTAAGAGGTGGATAACGATATTTTGAGACATGCAAGGTTTCCAAAATTTACATGACCTCATTTTCAGAGAGCTATTGGAAGATGTGTCTCACCAAAGCAAGGGGTCAATCAGAAAAGACAAGGCAACACTGGAGAGTGGTGACGGAATCTTCAGGAGGATGGCTGTGTCCTCAGGGTCCCGGCAGGAATGGCAAAACCCAGACGAGGCGAAACTACAGCCACTACTGATAACTATAAATAAATTGTGAGGAAAAGAAAGGGTTGGTAGAGAACATGAAGATTATAAGAGATTTAAAAGACATGACAAAATGTTTTTAATGAACAAATTATACTGTACTGTAGAGTCTAGGTATACACACTTGGGTAGTAAAACTACAAATAACAAGTAAGTTTTTACTTACTGTCAAAGTCAGGACATTTTGATGGGGACAGCTGGAAAGATCTTTTGCAGTGGAAAATTTGTATTTTATGAATTGAGTGGTGATAACAAAAGTGTGTACCTTTACAATAACTCATTCAACTACACATTTGTGTTAGGTATTTTTCTGTATATGTGTTTTTCCTTACAGTGAAATGACGAGAAAGGTAAAATAACTGGATAGTTATTTCAACAGTCTATACTCCTTTTTTCTTTAAAAGATTTTTCTTACTTTTATGACATAAACTTGTTTGATTAGTGCTAAGTCTATGACTGTCGATAAAAAGTCTCAGGTAGTATTGATCATCCCCGCCACACAACACCTTTTTTTTTTTTTAATGTTTCTACAGGAGGAATTGAAAATAAACAACCTTGTTTTCTCTTTACTGTTGAATGAAGAATTAAGCTCCAGAGAAAGTTTCCTGAACAACTACCTTACAAAGAAGCAGGAAGAGAAAGTAAGTACAGTGTCTGGCATCTGAGTACAAGCACTTTCTGACAGACGTGCTCCGTGTTTAACAGGAGCTCATGCATCTGGACCCTTCCTTCTGTCCACCATTCTTACTCACCCATGTGCATCCCTTGGCTCCCTGTCTAGCACTTCGCTCCAGGGCCAGGTGAAAGTACCCATTCCAATCTGTTAGTAAAGTTATGTGATTCTACATCTGCTATCCTTTAGTCAAAAGAACCATGTAGTTTTTGGATGACATGTGGTTTATAAAATGAGGTCATGTAACTTCATGGCTGGAAGCACCAGCTTTTAACCACTGACTGGCTGAGGGATCTTGGACAAGCCTTTTAGGCTGCTTTCAAACGCTTCTTTAGGGAATATTGTTCTCTCTGGACCATTTGGCACTCTAAGTTTCACTAAACATGAAAAGATAAGCAATGGGTTAGCTTGTAGAATGAAAAACTGCTGTATTCTGAAAAACTATATAAATGTGAGCATGAACAGATGTCATTCATTAAAGAGACAATGAATACGAAATGCTTAATACATAATAAGTTTTAACAGATGTTAGCTTTTATTAGTATTAATAAAGAACATTTATGAATGCATGACTTACTGTATCATATGTGACATATGTACTCACTTTTTTCTAAGCCTCTGTTAAACGGCCATATGCAAAGCACCTTCTAAAGACAGCCCTCCTCATAAAACCCCTGGAGAGAACTAGATTTCTTTCACAGATGAGGAGACCATCTCAGAGAGGCTGGATAACATGCCTAAGTCACCCACTAATATGTAATAGAGCAGGAGTTGGAACTGTGGAAATAAACAAAGACCACCCAAATGAGAACAAGCAGAGGATATTTATTCAGAGCTTGGCAGAGCAAGTGACTCAGCCACTATCACTTGTGTTTGGCAGACTCAAAGGCAGGCAACTTGAGTGGGAAAACTTGATAGTAAAAAGAAGGGAGGGCTTTAGGTGCACCTTGATTGGAAGTTGCTGGCATGGGGAAGCTGGAGGCAAACCAACTAGAAGCGGGACAACCTATGTGTTTGGTGTGAGAAATATATTTGGCATTCTTCGGATGGGCCTAAGTTGGAAATGAGGGCAAAAATTAGAGAAGCAGTTACTGACAAAGTTATTGACAAAGTCCTGACAGTTTGGGATGATCACTGCAAAGGCTGTGGTTTAGCTTCCTGGCTGGTTGCTGCAGAGGTTGTGGGTCAGAATTCTGTTTTTATATAGGGTCTGATCACCTTCCACATTTATGCTCAGTCTCTCAAACCGAGGTCCACGCCACTCCCAAGCCTATGTGCTTTCATCATCCACACTGCCCCACCAAGCATACAGAGAGCTCCATAGACACTTACACACTCACGTACAGAGGTGGCTATGCCTGTTCCTTCAAGGTCTCCAATTGGCTTATTTCTTCTATGAATGTTATCTGTAATGGCTACTTCACTGACACATTTATCTTGTACTAGGAAATTCCTTATTCTTTTTAGTATCCCCAGCATTTTTGTTCATCCTGAAAAGTCTCCACTTCCAATAAACTATTCCTGATGTTATTATAGAACCAGATTTCAGAAGCCATCCAGAAATCTAGAGAAGACCTCGATGTGTACAGGGAGCACTATGACAACTTACTGGCAGAAGACAAGGTGACAGTCATTGTCTTACCCATTCAGCAATGCAGTAGAGATGTTGCAGCCTGGATTTGGGAAGATTAAAGGGGAACTCTTAATTTCCTCACAGGTTTTTCTCCTACTATAATTCTGAGCTGTCAGTGAACTTCATTCTGTGCCACTGTATATTTCTGAAAAATCCATGTGTAAAATGAGTTTTTGTAAACTTCTCTGGTTTAAGCTTTCCCTTAAACAAAAAATAGGGTGATCATCTAGCCCTTTTACATTGCAGACCCCATTAGTTGGTCATAAAATTAATTTAGTAGGCTATGACCAGCAGTTTTATAGTAGAAAAGAATAGGATACAATAGCATAAATAAGACAGAATAGAATGAAATGAAACAGGACAGAAGAGAACAAAATAGAATGGAATAGAATAAGATGGAAAGGAAAAGAATAATTAGAATAACTTGCATGTTTTGTGGCTAAATATTATTTTGGGAAACTTCCATTCTGGATGATTTCTGAGACCTCTTATATGAAATAACCTTTTTTATGCACTGAGGTGACTCCTATTCAAAACAAATCTTTGTGAAATCTTTTCATAGTGAATGGTCACCCTCCAACAACTCAACTCTATAAACTGAGTTTTCGTGGATTTTTTTAAAAAGTCAAAATGATGCAACCTGTATTTTGAAGGGTATTGTCAGCAAATAAAAGGTTTCTGTACAAAGTTGCAGTCCTCACAATGATGTGTGTGTTTGACCTTAGGTTCTGGATCGCAGCTTTAAAAAGGAGTTTTCTGAAATTCCCGGTCACCAAGTGGACATACTCTACAAACTTTTTAAACGTCGGCCAAGGTTTGTTTCTCCTTTGCTGTTACGTTTTGCTATTATGCTGTTGACTTTTAAAAACTTTTTAAACATCGACCAAGGTTTGTTTCTCGTTTCCTATTATGTCTTTGAGAAAAAAGTTGTAAATGAAGAGAAGTGTTATTAGATTTCAGCTTTTTTCTTCCAATTAGAGGGCAATATTCACCTATCTTTTAGGTGGAGATGTTTACGTGCTGTGGTCATAATTCAGTATTTTTTGAGATTATGCCTATATCTTAAGGTAAGGAATAAAGAGTCATAATTTCTTTTCATTATTTAAAAAAAGTTAAGTATCTAAGCATAGTGCCATTATAGGTCCTATTTTATACATAAAAGTGATTTCTCTTAAGTCATAGATGGCATATAGATTTAGAAACAGTTTTTCCCAAGATGTGTTCTAAAAATATATATTTTTTGTGGTATGAATTGGAATTATACATAATAGGCTTCCAGAACTAAATAAGTTTGGGGAAATACTGGCCTTAAAAAAAAGTTAAACAGACTTTTTTACTGCAAAACTTCTCAAAACTTGTTATTGACCTTTGCATCTCCAAGTATAAGAAACAGAGTAAACAGTGTTATCCAAATTTATTTGACCACAAATTGCCTTTCCTCAGAGTATCTCCTATGAATGTACTTAAGACAAAGTTTGAAAAATGCCATCATAAATGGTTGAAAATAACCATTATCAAAACAATTCTAAAATATATAAACTTTTTTTCTGAGAGTAGCATTAGAATTACGCTTTGCTGACTTCCAACATTATAAATTCAGATTTCATAATTTTCAAACATAATCTAGAAATCATGCAGTCTGTCACAAAGGTGTAGGCTAATCTGTGTCAAATACAAATTCATTCTCTCACCCTTGAAATGTTACATGCATCCTAGGGAATTTAACCCAGAACATGCCTCATGTCTTGGTTTTCCTATTTTTAAAGGAGTGAGTTATAGTAAGCCCAAGTGCATACCTTTTCCTTGCGAAGAAAGAAGTGAGACCTCCTATATACTGGGAGGCAGCAAGGGAAAAGCACAAGCTTTGTTGTCAAACAGAATTAACTTTAAATCCTAATGCCATCACCTATCAAACCTGTAGCCTTGGGCTGATAGCACCTCTCAGAGCCTGACTTTCCTTATCTGCAGAAGGGGGATAACAGTACTGACCTCACAATGGTCTGTAAAGCACCTTGTAAGTGAGTGCCTGGCACAAATCTTTGTACCCTTCTTCCCTCTTCGGCCGCAGCACAGGGAAACAAAACTAATCTCTTAACATAGATCAAAAGAGGCACTTCTCCCGTTCCACATACATCTATACATATTGCAGGCTACTCACCTGCCAAAAGGTTACCAGCAGAGGACGGGCAAGACAGAACCAAGGAACACCCACACTTCTCTTGGTCATTTATTTGCCTGCTTATAATACGCAGAAGGGAGACATTTCCCGGCACAGGTAAAGCCACCAGTGCTGACAACAGTTAAGGATGGCTATAGTCCAGCCGAGGTCATGCCTAGGGATCTAGAAGGTGTGGAAGAAGGACAAAGTGGGTGCCTTTCTCTTTGGAATAATCCACCCACCACCTCTCAAGTGCCAAAGGAAAGTGCCATACAATGTGTCATGTGCTCAGGGTCTTAATATTTAACATTGACCTGTTTTGTGAGAATCTTAAAGGTTGATGGGCTTTTCTTGGTAATCCCAGGATTCACAAACAGAAAGTGAATTTAGATACGACCAATATTGTCCCTTTCGGAGAGCGACCAGGATCTGGAAAGTTGAATAAGGACAACTTTGCCCAGTTAATGAAAGCCATGGATGAGTTGGACAATGTTAATAACATGCCAGAAGGCTTGGACCCCTTGATCTGGGATCATTTCTGCATAACCAGACGAGCAAAAGTGGAAAATGAACAGAAAGTATATAACATTTATTTTGTTTTATTTTATATCTTATTTTATTTTTAGTGTACTAACATCAACTATATAGTTTACACATTGGTCAGTGCATCCAGAAAAGCTAATTATTTAGGTTTTCCTGCTAGGGTAGTAGTTGGTAATATTAATAATAAAATAATGAAATAAGGTATTAACTTTGGTGTTACTGAGGGCTAAGTATAGGCCAGAGCTGTCCAAAATAGTGGCTACTCGCCACATGTGGTTATTGTACACTTGAAATAAATGTGGCCAGTCCTAATTGAGATGTGCTATAAGTGGAAAATATGCACAGATTTAGTGTGGAAAAAAGAATGGAAAATGTCTCATTAATATTTTTGTACTAATTACAGGTTAAGTGGTATTTTTCATATATTAAGTAAAATATATTAGTAAAATTAGGTTCATCTGTTACATTTTACTATTTATAATATGGCTACTACAAAATTTAAAATTACATATGTGGCTCACATTTGTGGCTCGCATATTTCTCTTGGACATCACTGTTATAGATTATCTCATTTTGCATAGGTTGGAATTGTATTTAGCTCAGCATAACCAGCATTATAGTTTTGCTAGAATAGAAAAAAAAATGTAGCAAAGGGTAAAATTTTGAGAGTGTGTTTATTTGAGAAGAAAATCCTTCTTCTTGTTGCTTCTTGACTACTACTTCCTGCCTTCCCTACCCCAAATTCCCTAAATTTAGTGCCACATACATATTTTTGTTAAAGTATCTATGACTTTATAATTTCATCTAAGGTGATGGAAACAAACTGTAAAATAAGATATAAGAAAAATTATACTTGCTTGCATACTTGATTTTCAGCAAGAAGCAAATTTGATACTCTTCAAATTATTCATGGAATGTACCATGTAAGTTTTAGACACCTTACACAAGTTTAATAGCCCTAATCTGAAAATGTGAAATCTGAAATGCTTCAAAATCAAAACTTCTTGAGCACTGATATGATGCACAAAGGAGATGTTCATTGGAGCATTTCAGATTTCCTATTTGCAGACTAGGGATGCTAAACTGGTAAATATAATGCAAATATTCCAGAATCCAAAAAAATCCAAAATCTGAAACACTCTGGTCCCAAGCATTTTGAATAAGGGATGCTCAACCTGTATTACAAAATATCAGTGATTTAAATTTTCATTAATCTCTTAGAAAGACAAACTTGTTAAGATTTTGTACAAAAAAAAGCTAAAAGATGAATGTTTTTTAAAATTGAAGCTATGTATGTTCTGAGATATCTGTGGTTTGATTTCTCCAGGTAAAGCAGAAAGCAGCTGGTTTAATGGAAATGATGGCCTTTCTCCGGAAGAGAGTTGAGGAGGATGAGCAGGTGCAGCAGGAGATTGAGAAAGTGTTCCAGGAACTTGTCCTGTAATTTGAACCTTCCATTCATGTTCGCATACTCAAAGTCTAAGCTAGGCCTAAGTTAGGTTGTGTTATCTTTGGGGGAGAATGCCTGCTCACTGACTGACTTACAGCTGGTGCAAACTTCTCTGTCTCAATCCCAGCACTGTGCTTTAAGATTTCTATTTTAGGGCTGGCTGGCTAGCTCACTTTGGAGAGCTGGTGCTGGTAACTCCAGGGTCAAGGGTTTGGATCCCCATACCAGCCAGCTGCAGAAAAAAATAATAATAATTTCTATTTTAGAATCTGCATTTTGTTACATAAGACCTTGATTCAGGATGGAACTTTCCCACATGTTCCATTTCTCTTATTACAAATAAGCAAGTTTTAGATCATCTTAGTATTTTTTTAGATCTGCCCTTTCCACATTAAAAATACAAAGAACCTGTTTCCGCCAGAAGTATTTTAGGGTTCAAGCCTTATCAGTTAACTGTGCGGAAAATTAAGCAGATGTCCAAAAACTTTCCACATAGACACATAGCCAGCTAATATCTTTTTCTTTGGGGGAGTTTGTTGTTTTTAACTGACTGATTGGCATACTCTTTCAAGTCCTTCATTGTTTGGTCGTACTTACAGCCACATTGATAAATACTCCTCCAGTGCTTCCACATTCATTGTTATACATCATTTTTAGATTTAGGCTATAAGGAGGAATATGAATTACCTTGTAATACACTTGATAAGTAGCATTCAGATTAAATACTGTTAACATAGTAGGAAAAATCAATAAATAAGGTCAGAACTTTAATAGATTTGTTATTTAGTAACATCTCTATTTTCTTCATTTTTACTTTACTTTTATTACAATCAAAACTATACTAATATTTTCTTAATCCTAAAGTAAAATTTTATGAGTGTATTTCTGTCCATATTGCTGTTTGAGCAACCCAAGTGTATTTCCATGTCAATAGGAAGAGGTATCAGAGAGACCTCCAGGGAAGCTTGTCACTGGAAAAATATTCTTCACACTAATCTCCAGTATGTTTTCCTTCAGCTGATTTGAATATTATATTCTCAAATGAAATTTGAGATATAAGTGTTACAACTACTTGCTTTGAAGTCTTTTTTAATATAGATTACAGGAAGAGAAAGCGAGATGCCAGTTGGATTTGACAATCCAAATTCTCCTTAAACAAGGACAGGTAGAACTGGAGAATTTCCAGTTAACACTGGAGTATTCCGATGCAATTCTCATCAACAAGAACATAATTGAAGACTTGAATGCTGTGATTCGGGTAATTATAATTTTTTAAAGAGAAAAACACAACATATTGCTTGCTGTGTCTCATATTTTACATTGTTCTCCCACTTCCATGATAAGTAATTTTAATTCAGTTAAATCAGTGGTTCCTAACTGGTACTGCCAATTAGAATCACCTGAAGAACATTACAAATGTGCCCAAACCCTGCCCCCAAGCATGAGTGTTTTTTAAATGCTCCCCCGATGAGTCTAAGGTTCAGCAAGTTCAGGTCTATGGAATTAAATGTTTGTTCTAATATGCCATAGTTTCGTTAGGCCCGGTCTACTCACCTGCAGATAGTCTTAGATAAACTTGGTTAATTGATTTCAGACCTTGCTTCTTTTCTAATATAGATATTTAATGTTATAAATTCCCCTCTATACTCTATTTTGTTACACTTCTTTTCCCTGTGTAATGGAGCCAAAAAAAAAACTACATGATTACTCAAGCACTATGTATGCATTGAGGCCCGGACGGACTGCACTTCAGTAATTTCCCCATTAGGAGGGGCAAAACTGAATGTGTCAGCCTCATCCAAAGTTAGTCTCTCCCTTTTATTGTAAAGACAAGGAAGTTTTACAAAAAAATTCAGTCGATTTAACCATTACAAAAACACAAGGATATGGGCAGAATTATGGCCAACAAATGGAAAACTAGTAACATTATTGAAATGAGCAAAGTGACATTCCATAAGGCAATTTGCAAAAGGTTAAGATGATCCACCAACAAAAATTTGTTCTTAGTAAACACTCTTTTCCTGCAGCAGTTTCCTCAGTATTTTTACATAACAATAATGCAAGTTTTCTAACATATCAATCAGTAGGTTAACCTGCTCTCAAGGACATCTGTCCTTGAGAGCCAGCAACTTTGCTGTGTTACAATTCTATATCTACAGCAGAGCCTGAGGAAAGTTTCCTGTCTTTTGCAAACTCAACATTTCTATATGTAATTTTAAAAGGTTAGGTTATACCTGAAACTACAGGGCTTTGGAGGCTAAGCCCTGCGAAATACATTTGCTTTATAAATGTTAGTATACTCCACACTGTTTTATCTGTATTCTGCGAATTTTGATGTTTTGTGTTTTCATTTAAAATATTTTCTAATTTCCCTTGTGAATTCCTATTTGACTCATGGGTTATCTAGGAGTGTGTTATTTAATTTCCAAATATTTGGGGATTTTGTGCTATTTGAGAATTTGATGCTAATGTTATTTTAATTTTACTGCTCAATGCCCACATTATATTACTATTATTTTGCTTTATACAGTCAATTATCTTTTAGAATGGTGAAAAAGAAGGAAAAAAGCTATTTTCTATTTATCTTCATTTTCACTGTTACAAAAGATCTTTATTTTTGTATGTAGATCCAAGTTTCTAACTTGTATCATGTACGTTCTGCTTAAAGAACTTCCTTTAACTGAAGTACAGATCTGCTGGTAATGAATCCTCTCAGTTTTTCTTTGTCTAAAAAAGTCTTTAATTAAAAGCCAACTAAAGTGAAAAATGGCGACGGGTCTGGAGCGCCCGCGTCAGGAAACAGCGCAATCCTGAGAGCTGTGTG